AGATCCGGAACGAGATGTTTCAGGACAAGAAGACGCAAATGGACGGGGATCTAGCGTGTTTGAGTCGTTATCCTACCTCACCAAGGATGTGGAGCTGGCAATCGGAGATCTTGAGGATCGTGCAGCAAGGCTACGTGATCTACTTGAGGAGGAGGAGATCATGTGTGAGGAGTACCGTCGGGTGGGTCAGATTACACGTGAAAACCTGGTGGATGCGAGGAGCCAGGTGTGTGACTTCTTGGACCACGTGCACGAGGAGCTGGTGGGTTTTGAGCGGCTGAGGACAATGATGTGTTTGAGTGCCATGAAGGTAACCCCTGATGCCTCTGCCGATGACGAAGTGGACTATGAGGCTCTTCTGGAAAGTCTGGAGGAAGATCTTAAGGTCGTGCACACGGTGCCGGCAGCGCAAGTTCGCAAGGTCCTTACCAAGTGGGCCGCAGCGATTCGGAAGGAAGTCGAGGCTCTCTTTTCGTCTGGGACTTTGCGAAGGGTCGATGTTGATGAGGCCAAGAGGCTGGAAGCTGAGGGCTCTGTTGTCTTCGCACCGGCGAAGTGTGTGTTCACCCTAAAGCCGCCCCAGACGGCAGGCCAGCGCGCTAGGCGCAAATGTCGGCTAGTTATATGTGGGAACTTCGTCCGCGATAATGTCGAATTTGGCGACCTCTATGCTGCTGGCTCTTCTACGGACGCCCTTCGACTTACCCTGGTAGTATCAGCAATGAGAAGGTGGGTTGGAGCCATCTCCGATATCACTGGGGCCTTTTTACTAGCAACGTGGCCTGAGAATCTTCCAAAATATGGAATTTACCCACCCCGCATCGTACGAGATGCAGGCGCAGCTCAGGCTGAAGCCTGGATTGTGGAGCGACCTTTGTACGGGCTCAGAGAGTCACCAAGGATCTGGTGTGATTTTCGCAACAGGCGGCTACGGCAAGCTCGCGTACACGTTGGGGACCTAGTGCTGGTTTTGCGGCCAACAGTGTCGGAGCCGGAGCTGTGGATGATCCTTGGGGAGGTCACGGGCACGCTGCATGGGCTGATAGTGCTTTACGTGGATGATATTGCCTATTTTTCCACACCAGAGGTTATACGGGCTGTTCATGCTTATGTGACTGCAGAATGGCCTGCGAGTGACCTTGAGTGGATAACCGAGTCCAACTCGGTTCGCTATCTTGGTGTCGAGATTGGGAGAGAAGCCAGGACTAATGAGCGGGGTGAAGCCCGTTTCGTCTACACCATCGGGCAGGCAGGATACGTTCGTGACCTACTACGTGCACATGGCTTGTCTGATGTGGCCCCCACAGCGCTCCCAGCACCAAGAGAGTGGATTGAAAGTGCGGAAAACGATGACAGCGTCGAGGAGTACGATGAGGCTACGCTTCGAATGGCTCAGCGATATGTTGGTGAGCTGTTATGGCTGGGGACTCGCACGAGACCGGACGTGATGTTTGTGGTCTCGCATGCAGCAAGCTGTGTGTCCAAGAAGCCGGGCTACGTTGTTCAGCTCGCGCAAAGGGTCATGGCTTATCTAACAGGCACTGTTGATTTAAAGATGACAATGGGACCAGTGGACGTGCCTGAACAGCTTGAACTCATCGCCTTCACGGATGCTTCATACGCTCCATTCGGGCGTCGATCGTTTGGTGCTGCAGTCATAACCTTCTTAGGTTCGCCAATAGCATGGAAAGCGGGGCGGCAGAGTTTCATTACGCTTTCGGTGATGGAATCGGAGCTCTACGCGGCCACCCAAGGCTGTACGCTATTGAACTCTGTGTATGCCCTGCTGCTGGAGCTCTATCCGCAAGGAGTGCAGCGAGTGCTTGCTGTGGATAACACGAGTGCAGTTTCGATGTTAAGTGGCGGGCATGGCTCACAACGCACACGACATCTCAAGATTCGTGCACATTATGTTAGAGAAGCTGTGGAAGCTGGTGAGCTAGTTGTCCGCCACACTCCCGGAAGCGAGCAGTTGGCCGATCTTTCTACAAAGATGCAGTCGAAGCTAAGGTTGCATCAACTTCTACGCCTTTGGGGCTTTGTTGGTGCTGCCTTGGATACTTTACAGGCGATGAAGCTTAGGCTCTTGGCTGTCTTTGTGATGTTGGCTCAGTGTGTATGCCCGACAAGAGCTGAGGAGGAGAAGACGATCAAGGATCCCTTGCCCGCGGCTACATGGAACGAGTTGTTTGTGGTTGTAACCGTGGTTGCGATCGTTGCGGTTGTTGTTTGGGAAGCCCTTCGAGTAATGTACCGGAGGTCCCTTCGTTACTACAGGCGATGGACGAAGGTGAAGAAGCTGGAGCAGGTGTCCCAGTTCGCTACAACAGCTGCGAGGAGAGAGATTGCAGCTACATCTGAGGCTTTGTCTTCGGCTAGGAGGAGAACTGCTTCGTTGGCACGAAGGGACTTGTCTACTCCTTCGACCCCGAGGACACCGCCTACTACAAGAGTGATGACTCCAAGTGCCTCGAGAAGCAGTGATTTGCCTACAACACCGTTGGAGCCAACGGCGAGCGCTACGAGACGTTCTACGCCTCCACCGTTGCCGAGACCTACCGTAACATTGTTGGAGCCAGCGACGAGCTCTACGAGACGTTCCACCCCTCCGCCATTGCCGAGATCTACTATGTTGCCAACCACAAGGGCTGAGGAGGAGAGAGAGCGCCTACGTGTTTGCAAGGATACCCTTCAATTGATGACGTGTGAAGACTTGAAGTCCGCGTTGAGACTAGAAGGGCTACCTGTGTCAGGAGTCAAGGATGACCTGACAGACAGGCTTGTGACTAGGCTAGTTGCTTCAGATGTGACGGAGAAGCAGCTGCGCTACGTGCTCTATCTGTGGCGGTTGAAGTCCTTGAGCTACAGGTGCAAGTTACGGTGGGAGGACATCAATAGCAAGCTCCGAGTGTCTTCGTGGCTCGCTACATGGAAGCATGCATGACAGTCAGTGTAGGAGCTGTCAAATTAGTCAGAGACTGATCTTGGCGTGGAGCGCCAAGTAGGCCCCGCATGTATAGGTACTCTTACGCCGTGGGCGGAGAGTAAGGAGGAGTGTTGATGCTGTGCCTCTTATGTATGCGGGTGCCCGTTTGTGTCAAGTCTGATGACTGAGCCAAGAGAAGTGCGAGATGCCTTCGAACTGAAGCTGACTTTACTTGTAAAGACTCGTCAGCTAAACTTGTTACCAGCTGGATGCTTCGACTTGTACATCCCAGAAGCCAGGCTGTTACAGTACACGTTCGGTGAAGCGAAAAGCCTTTTGAGCTGCGTGCGTTGCCATGGCCCTTAAGCCCTGATCCTCCGCCCCAAGAACAAGACCATGATCCCGAATGATCTTCA